AACCCCAGGGTCTACACGCAAATATCATCCATGGGTTTCCACTGAACTACGCAAGGCTATCAAGTTGAAGCGTGACCTATTCAGCCTCTCCAAGAAATTCCCTACGGACTACAACCTATCAGCATATAAGACACAGCGGAACCAGGTGAGACATCTCTCCCGCTGGTGCCACCGCCAGTACATTCGTTCAATCAAAACAACACTTACCTCAGGCAGCACTACGCTTCACCAGTTTGTACGCAGTCAGCGATCGCACAAAGTAAAACCTGGCATCCCTGACATTGCAAGCCCTGATGGGCTGCTGGTGTCCGACAGCTTCCAAAAAGCAACCATCCTCAACAAGCAGTTTACCTCTGTCGCGGTGCCTGATGATCCACGTTTAGTAATACCCCCTCTCCAATATGACACTCGTCTTACTCGCCAATTCACCCTCGTTCATATCACTACAGCAGATGTTCGTAAAGCCATCTCAAACCTGAAATCTGGGAAAGCGCCAGGGCTAGACGGTATCACGAACAATATGATAAAGAAGCTAGCTCCTGCGATTTCTTTTCCACTTAGCCGCCTATTTAACCTCTCATTTACCACAGGCAAGTTCCCTACTGACTGGAAACTGGCTAAAATTGTGCCTATTTACAAGTGCAAAGGCAGCAAATCTCAAGCTAGTAACTATCGCCCAATTTCCCTCCTGTCCTGTATTTCCAAACTTTGCGAACGGCTCTTCTTCAATCATTTGTATAATCATATTTCTCCTGCTCTGGATCCCGCGCAATCTGGGTTTCGTCGTGGTGACTCGACCGCTCTACAGCTCACCAAGCTGATCCAAAACATTGCCGACCATCGTCATATGGGGCGGAAAGTTGCCATGTGCTTTTTCGACCTCGAGAAAGCTTTCGACACCGTGTGGCACCGTGCATTACTTGCTAAACTTTCCAAAGTTTTCGGTGTGTGTGACTCAGCACTGGAGTGGATTACAGACTACCTATCCGACAGAACGCAAGTTGTCTTTGTAGGTGGAACTCTCTCAGATGCTTCACCTGTTCTGTCCGGAGTGCCCCAGGGATCCATCCTAGGGCCCTTCCTTTTCCTAGTGTATATAAATGATCTTCCCAGTCATGTTGAAGGTGTGTCCTTATTTGCTGACGATACTGCACTGCTCCGGTTCAATGAGTGTCTAGACAGGCTGCAAGACAGTCTCCAGCGGGGTATCAACGAAATCCATCAGTGGATGACTACCTGGAGACTAAGACCTAATATCGCCAAGACTGAGATATTATTCCTGCCGAACTCAGAGCCAACCTATGTTTTCACTCTTCCCGGATCCCTCACAGACCTCACAGTGGTAAAACAACACAAACATCTTGGTTTGGTCATTGACTCAGACTTATCGTTTAGTAGACATGTCGACTATATCTGTAGCAAAGTCAGTAAAGCTGTTGGCTACCTCGTGTCTCACTGCTCCCACCTACCGCTTGAATGCATTCGCCTTTTTTATCATTGCTATATTCTCCCCATTTTTCTCTATTGCTCAACCGCCTGGTCATCCCTACTTAGTAAATCGTTAATGAGTACCCTGGAAGTCCACAATAAGAGGATACTCAAAGTCCTTTTCCGCCAACCATCATACTTTCCTTCTGCCGAGCTGTATGATATGTTTAACACCTTCCCTATCTCTCGTCAAGCGGATCGAAAACTGTGTATTGTTGTTCATTCTATTCGTCTTGACAAAGCCCCGCCACACTTGCGTAAATATAACTGGTTTCTTCCCACTCGTCCTACGCGCAATCCCTGCACTTTACCTAAAGCCCGAACCTCAGCTTATACCAGATCTCCGTTTTTTGCTGCCTATTCTCTCTGGCTGGCCCTGCCTCTATCAGTAAAATCGTCTTGTACGCTAAAGTATTTCAAGGCCAACATGAAGCTCGTGTTCTAATAACTGCTAGTTCTTCATCCACATTTGTTTCTCTTTGCCTCCAGTAATGTGTAATATTTATTTATTTTTGCTTTTTTTTTGTTTACTGCCATGGCTGGCTACCGCCCCCCTCCCTTCATATTGGCCTATATTCTCTGGCCACGGGAAGGTGAAATAAATAAAATTAATAAATAAATAAATATAACTAATGTTTGCACTCATAACCATGTTTAGAACGAGGTCTGTCTCGTTGTCCAGGAAACGACCAATCAGCGACATTCCCGCCAAGGGCCTTATCAGAGTTTAAAGCCCGCTCAATTGTTATTTTACTACTCTTGATGACGCGTCGAGGGCCTTGGATTAGTTTAAAGCCCGCTGAATATACTCTAAACTGGTGCGTACAACTCCCTGTATGCATAATAGCACGGTGCAGATAATGAACTCTACATAACGTGTACGGTGTACTACTAAAAGCTACGCAATTCAGACGTGTGTACGGTTTTTGCCTCCCGTATTCTTTCATCTGTACGAATTTTCTTTGTCAACAGCTTGCGGAAACCTATAAAAAGCGAGGATCAAAGTCATTAGAGTTATCGACAAGGGGCTCTCAATGCCCCTAAGGCCCTGGTCACACATGCACTGGGATTCGCTTCGGCGACGAGGTTCGGCGGCAGCGAGCCTGGTGTCGCTCCAGCGAAACCAAGTGTGTATGGTCACACATACAAACAGGGCACAACTCCTACTTTGGCGGAAAATGAGACTGTGGTGCATACGGTACGGAGAATACACGGTCAATGACAATCACGCGTTTTCGTTGCATGGACATCATACGCGTACGCATACAAATTTCTCGTAGCAAGGCCATATACAGCAGACCGTGGTGTTTTCCGCTGAAGCGAATCCGCAGAAGCGACAGTCTCGCTTCGAAAATTTTGGAGGAAGCGGATTGGAGTTTCCGCTGAAGCGGAAGTTCCGCTTTTCGCCGTTGCCATGCCATTTTTCGCTCCTGCGACCTCGCTTCAGCGTATACGCTAGTTTCGAGTGCATGTGTGACCGGGCCCCTAATAGCTCCACAAGCTACATACATGTATATGAATAAGAATTAAGCTCGCAATAAGAGCCCAGCATTTCATTTGCTTCCATTCTACTTTTAGTAGTCCTAAGTGGTGCTGAGTTACCATAACTTACCAGAAGAAAAATATTCTTTCATACCACACCAAGTCTCTCTGCACACAAACCACAAAACTACCCAATATAGTGGTACACAAGCATAATGTAAGTGAGATAATGCATGTAACCTCGTTCTAAAATAGTTAGTGCATGGCAGGGAGGGTCTTATGGCTTGTTTGTGCCCTTCAGGTTAGCCCTCGGGCCTACGGCCCTCAGGCTAACCTGTCGGGCACTAACAAGCCATAAGGCCCTCCCTGCCATGCACTAACCTATAAGTAAAACAAATATTAAATGGAAAAAAGTCCAGAACGTTTTCTCGCGACTATCATCAGTGGAACACTGTCACATAGTAAGAATCACCAAATCAACCAGTCACATGTAATAAAATAAAAAATTAAAAAAATTCACGGTTCGCGTGAGACTCGGCCAAAGGCCCAGTTTTCCGCATCCGCAGGAACGCCACCACCCTCTTGGATCAAGGCGCAGATGCAGCTCCTAAGCGGTGGGAGGTGAGTAGATCAGACCCACCACAAAGTGGTCAAAGACCGAAATCCCATTCACTGCATCCATGTTTCCCTCGTGCCAGGCCACGAGTTCCCAATTAACTGTGGGTCGCAGCACGGCTGGAAAAAATCCTTCCGCTTCCAAGCAGGACTTGAACCTGGTACCCTCTGTTTCTCAATCATGGTCTTAGACCATCCCACTATGCCTGCCTGCCACATGTAATAGCTAGAGTAATAATAATATCACACGTAACGTAGTAATGTAGCAACTCGCGTTTCCAAATAACTTCTTTTATGCGAATAGTGAGAACTTAGGCAATGAATTTGACAATGGTAGCGGCAGATAAATGTGGGAGGTGTATGTGCGTGTGTCGACAAAAATGTTGAGTGTGTATTTTTTGAAGAGTGTCATTTTCATTCTGCTTACATATCACAGGGTAACGTGTACGAATATGGACAGCTTCCAACACCTCCAACTGCTTAAAAGAGAAATGTGCGGAACAAATAACACTAAACCAGGAATCGTGAGGAAATTTACGACATTCCAGACTGGACATCAAATGCTTGTAGATGGCATGCATTGCAGACTTCCTCTAGTTGACATCCAACACTTCCTCGTCAGCACCACTATCATCCTTCACCTACGGACCTTCCCCTCCCATGCTGTCCTCCTGACCATCCTGTTCTTCCCCACCATCATTCGTCTCCATGTCCTCCCACCACCGTTTCTTTCTCCTTGACCCGTTATTCGCTGCGCCTGTACCCTCACTCGCATTTCCTGGTCCCACTTTCTACATTTGTCCTAGACGTGCCTCCGCTAATCTTTGGTTTCTCCACAGATCCGTTTTGCTTACGGTTCGTTCTCCTAGTGATCTTCCCCTTGCCACAGTAGGGTTTGCTAATATGAGCGATCGCGCGGCGGTCTACCAAGACCGGCATGCAACATAGTATGGAGGAGGGCAACGTCCATACTGACCTGTGGATGTACAAACAAGGCGCCCTGGGAATCCCACTGCAATGTTCTCTCCAGGCACAGTCCTCTAACATCTGATTTCGGTAAAGTTAAAATACTAATTGTGCACGATTACATGGCTAGATTTCAGCGTGCATGCAGATACGAGTTACATTTACTGTACTCCATTGGACATGCAGACTCGGGGTTCAAAATGGCCATTTCTTTCATGTTATATTTCCGGAGGAAGAAAGAAAGCCTGGGATAAATTAGTTCAGTGTAGTTGAAATGGGAAGGATCTTACAAAATTGAATGGCGCTACTGTTGAACTCGGCCGAGAACATAACCCTTGCAGCTGGGCATTAATGATTCAAGAAGGATATCATCAGATTAACTTTTACTGTAGGACTCTTTCCAGACCCCTTGCAGCTGGGCAGTCATAATCTAATTCTAGCGAATGGTGTAGTGAGCGTCATCGCAGCGAAATATTGCGACCTTTCAGCACAAGAACGTTCTCGTCAGATTTAAATGTTTAATGTGTGTAGGAGAAAAAAAAACCAAGTGGACATGCTCATTCAATTAATCATAAAAGGGAGATTTGTTGGGGGAAGTTATGCCCCCAAACTGATGCGCATCGTACGCAAGTAAAAGGATGGAAATGCTGCTATAAATTTTGATATTACAAACAGAGAGCCTGGTGTGCACAAGTCGATGCAATGAACGTTGAATGCAGCTCGTTGGAAATAGGTAACAACCAAAGCAATGTGTTTAAGTGTTCAAATGTACTTGTAGAAATAACACAATGGCAAATGTTTTCATATCCTATAATCAGGAAGGAACAACTACGAAATGGAAAGTAGAATCCAGGCAAAATTTTACCTCTGGCATGGGTTTCGACAGATCGAAACAACTGGGTGTAAGGATACCCGAATTTGCAAATAAATGCTAGCAGATTGCATATTATGTGGCCAAAGCATGCAGTCCGATGAAAGTCTAAGAGCAAGGTTATAGATGGAGCGCGCACAAAAATGAGAGACTGAAAGGCAGAATGAATGGAATTCAGAATGTGTTTATGATGAAACATATTGCTAGATCATGTGTGCTCAAGTGTCAAACATAAAAGAGTACTGGGTTACTGTGAATGTTCGTGAGGTGGGTGTTGTCTGAACGCGGCTTCTGAGCTAAATTACGTTCACATCGCCGGTGTAACATTAACTCCAGTGGGGCCTATTTGGCCGATTTCTTTTTCTTCTTCTTGAGGTCGACCATGGCGTACATACCTTCATCAGCCTGCTCATCGTCCGACTGTGGGAAGGACGTATATGGATCGGCGGTGGGCGTGCGTGGCTCTGTAAATGGAACACGGTCTTCATCCTGCACCAGGTGGGATGGCTTGGGTGCTTCCTTCTGTTTTTCCTGTCTTGTTGCATCGACTGCGGCATATGCGTACTGATCAAAGTCTCCTTTAGGTTGACCTTCTGACGTTGGTCTCGGCTTTGGATCGTCTACACAACTGTACACGTTTGTGTCATCAGTCATTGGTGGATCCGGCTGCTTTGTAACTGGCTTGGGCGCTTCTTTGGCAGCGGGGGTCCTCACGACGACGTCGGCAATGTCAGAATACACTTCAGGTCCTGTTCCCGTGTCCCCTTGCTGATCGCCGTCGTTGCTTGTCTCAGCGCTGCACGAGTCGCCGATTGTTCCGTATTGATCCCCTCGGAGACTAGCTACTGACTTGCTGGCCTTGCTGGAAGCTTCCGCAACACGCTGAACTTCTCGTGAAGCTCCTGAGTTATCCATGATTGTAACAAGGCCTGTTGTGCGAGTGCGCATTACCAAATAGATGACCGTGATCAGTAGAACAACAAGGACCACACCAAGCACACCGATGATGGCGACATACACAGTGCTATTGGAAGACTTGCAGGTAGTCGTTGTATCACTGCTAGGAGTTGATTCTGCCATGGAGACAAGAGGAGCAGAGATAAAGACAGTATTATGTATCTACGAAGCACGACTGACGTACGCATCCAATGCATTCTTCCCGTCACTGACACAGCAGCTGCACAGTGATTTAATCAAATCCAGCAAATTCGATTTCGTGCAATTGTTCGACTGTCCAGCCGTGCATCCATAGCCCCTCCCCCTCCTCCTGACCTTATCTATTCGATCCCTATCTCACAGCTTTCACTACAAGGTTCTGTTTTTGTGTTTTTCGTTGCCTACATGATCTTGCAAGTCCTCCTTTCTGCACATACTTTCAGATGACAGGTAATACAGGCTGCACATGCCGGGATGATCGCAAAATTACTCAAGGAGAGGAAACGCGGCTATCACAAGTGCATTTCGCTTCTGGACCTTTTGGTCGTCAGTCATTGACGCGGCGATATTCGCCTTCCCAGGTCGGTTTGTGCCTTTAAACTTGCTCTGGACAAAATTAATTGCAATTTGTGACAAGTGGTAAACGCGCTCCTTCTTGCTCGGCATCTCTTCCTACATGGTTTCCACTTTGCTCATCCTCACTATAAAAAGCAGTGTGCATGCAACACCCCACCCCCTCTATTCATCATACACATTACTGCTTGTTATATCTATGCTCAGTACACTGCTTACACATGCACACGCCCATGTTAATCATATGCTTTGGAATTCTCATGTTATGATTCTTTTTATTATTTCCTTCTGGAACTTAAAAATACCCCCATTCCGGCAATAGGCTATCAGCTGCACCAAATAGATAATTTTGCCAATATTTCGCCCAATGGGCATATTATTGGCAAAGTTATCTTTTTGGTGCATCTGAGAGCCTGTTGCCGGAATGGCGCTATTTTCAAGTGCAAGAAATACGCTGCAATAGAGTCTGGGAATTCTGAATAAATATTTCCTTATGAGTGCAATAAAGAGTATAATAGATGCAGACATTGCCAGACAACAGCGAGTTAAGGAGTTTTAAAGGATTATTATTATTCAATATCCATTTTCGTTTTCCGGTCTTCAGTGAATATTATCGGAACTGAGGGTAATGTATACAAAGAACATTAAATAACTGCATAATTAAAAGTGTGAAAAAGGAAGTGCTACAGCATTACATAATAGGTGTCAAACATAGTTAGCACTATCTTGGAAGGAACCCGTGGTTTGTTCTTCAGGGAATAAGGCAGAATTTCCTGTGATCTAAACGAATTCAAATAAAAGAAACATAGAAACAAACAAACAAACAAACCTTCGCAAGTCTGACCACTGTCGGTCCAGGTACCATTCGCGCCACAGGTGATGTTTCTGTTGCCATGGAGTTCATACGTCGAGTTACAGATGATAATTGCCATGGTTCCAAATGTTGGGGTGATGTGCCCAACCAGCACTGAGCCACTCTGCACTATTGGCGTACCTTTGCACCGTACAGCTGAAACAGAGCAGAAATTCAAGTGCCTTTTTCGAGTATTTGCTAGGACTTCTACATAAGTACAAACCCACTGTTTTAGGCCCTTTTTCGGCCCGTAGATTTCGGTAAATGCCTACTGGACAGGCCGCCGTCAAGACAACACTGCTTCACATTGGAAAGGTTTTTGGGACTGGACGGATTAGGCATGTCAGCATCCCTGAAGACAAGAGGAAATACCTCTCTGACAATACAAATATTAAACATTTCTGTAGCCGATTTGCAGCACTGGTTGCATCCCAAGCCCCCACCCCGACCCACCCCCTTCTCCGAGGTACGTCCAGAAGTAGGTAGAAGTACACAACAGGTACATATTACAACACCTCTTCTGACCCCGAGGACATCTCCACTATGTTCGTTTTTGATCTTTCCTGAAAATTTAACAACGTTGTTGAGCATAAACCCCTCAAGTCCATGATTCCGAAATACAGTCCCTGCGCCCGCCCCTCTGCGAGGTATAATCAGTGATTTCTACTTCACCACTACTGCATCAGTCCGTGCGCGTTACCAACGTGATTAGGGATAACACGCGCGAACTGTGGTGTGTTGGATCATGGAGCTGGCATTATTTTGTCATAATGCACTTGACTTTGCAGCTCCTCTTGAGCTAAAATTATGAAAAGATGAAAGCTTAGGTTGTTCAGTCAGTTAATATGAACTTATCCACAGGCAGCGCACAGCGATTCAGTGCACAGCAACTCAGCTTCTTTCTCAAGGCTGCCATGGCTCTCAATTCTGAATACCGTGCAGTAGTGTAAAGTCGTAGTTCGTCCGATCTTGCAATATGGTACGCTGGTAGCACCCTCCGTACTAGCCAAAGTCATGGCCATTCAGCTTAGCGCACTCCATGCCATCGGTGATGGCTGCTACCTGCCCAGCCTGGACATCCGTTGTACTGTTGCTGACCTCGCCTATCTCTTCAAGATCCACTCTTTGACTGGCCCTTCCATGGTCACAGCCCTCATATCCACGCCAGCTCTAGCTCGGGCCCGCACGCTAGCCGGCGTTCGCTTAATCACCATCCACCAGCCGTCCAAGGTGACCAAGACTGTCCCGCCTCAGTCTTGGAGCCATGACTTTCGGTCCTTCACTCATTGCATGATTGATACAACGTCCCAGCCTCTATTCTTGTGCTCCCCGCTCAGAAGGCGATGCGGACCTTCAAGAAAAGGGTCTACGTCCACCTGCGGCATTCTTACTAGGATGGGGGGGGGGGGGGGCAGTCGTTTTGAGCGTACTTTACTTGATATACGGGTTTTTAATCCTCATGCACGCTCAAATCAATCTGCAACACACACCACTGTCTATCGGCGCCATGAGAAATAAAGCGACAATGCTATGAAGAGAGAGTGAGAGAGGCGGAGCATGCGACGTTCATGCCTGTTGTACTGTCGGTAAGTGGTGGCATGGGAAGAGCGGTGACATCACTCTATCGCCGAATCGCGGTATTGAGAGCGGAAAGGAGGAAGGAGCAGTAGGGTCTACGACGGATCACAGAAAACGGGTTCACCGAAAGTAAGTTCAAAGAACGACACGACCTCGAACGACATTTCACCGAACGTCAATTCACAAAAAAGCCTGCCTCGCCGAAACGACGATTCACCGAAATGAGATTCACAGAATGTATGGTACACCGAAAGACATTTCACAGCGGTATCTTTCACCGACTGATCGCTTCACAGAATACCACCCCAGAAAGTCAAATCCACGTCGAACTCAGGATGTCATTGTTTGGTGAAGCGCATTGCTAAAATTCAAACTCAATCAGTGGAAAGAAGAACGCAAAAGAGGAACTCAAAAGAAAGCCAAGTTTTGCGCGATGCCCCTCAGAAACTCGGCTGTCGGCACATTTGGAAATGACTCAACTACCGTGCGCAACCGCTGGTCAAGCTTGACATAGCGCCGTCTGCGTTTAGGGCCGTTTTCATCAGCAACTATTCGCTCAAGTTTCTTCACCGTACTTCGCTGCTCTTTAACCAAACTCTCGATGCAGGTCCAGATTGTACTTCGAAGTAGGATGGTGACAGTTCACAACTGCAGCGAAGCGACGATGCCAGGCTTCTTGAAGATTGTTAGTCCTGTGTGTTCCATCGGCTATGCGTTCGCTCACGTTCCACCACTCGTGCAGAAATCGGAGAGTACGGCGTTCACCATTGGCCCTAACATAATGTTCCGATGTAGTACGTTTCGAAATACGTCAGCACTTCATCCGCTTCAGGAGGGGAGTCGGCTTCCAATATCTCGAAGCCCTGTACTACGTCTAGTGTGGGAGCGAATGCCAGAGCAGCGATCGACTTTAGCTTCAGTGCAAACTCCGCGTCTTGGCCATAGGGAACTTTGAGACCCGCGCCTTGTATTATGTTTAAATATATTTTGAGATAAATGGAAGTAGCATCCATGGACGATCACTTGGGGAAATATTTGCCGGTACGCTTTGATTGCCGCGAGCTCAAAGTCGGTGCTGATTGTTGCCGGATTTACGTCAGCGTTCACGTCAATCAGAGCTTGCAGGAGCTTTTCATACGTGTCCTGTCGTTTATTTGGCAGAAGGGCAAATACGAGAGGCAGGAAATAATTACTCTTAGACGTGCCGATTGTGTAGAGTTGAGCGAAAAGATGAGGCACGGTTTTGAACGTGCCATCGCTAAACCACTGGGTGGAGGATGCTAGAGTTTCGACCCAGTCACTGTTTATACCGTACAATAGCCACCATGTTGCGTGAAACGTGAGCATTTCACTAGACATGTATGTGTAGAATATAGTGCCAATACAGTACAGTGCCAAATTCTGTGAAATACACACGGACGAACTGAACAAATTGCTGTTTGTTTAGATGTCCAAATGAGCAATTTTTTTTAAATGGGCGAGCTGACAGGCGAGCCGACAAAACTGCTCTGCTCTCTGCCTGGTATTGAGCAAAATGCGGTTAGCTTGCTGCAGACTTTGACAACTTTTGTCAGCGAGTCTAGAGACCGAGAGAGGTGCCTCCTACGACGTTTACATGAGCTCTCTGCACAAATCGTGGAGTTGAAGGCGGAGGTTCGTGTCTCCCTTGAAAAGAGGTCCGCCATTACAGCCGTGGATTCCTCCTCGGAGCTGCCCGGCAGTACCCATACTCTCAACAGCCAGCGTACACGCCGTACCCATACCAAAGGCAAAAGCAAGCAGCAGCAGCAGGATCTGCAGGATCAGGAAACAACTGGAGCGCACGTGGAGGCCGTATCCCGTAGCGGCACTTTCGAAAACGTGATCGGGGACAGTGGGCCCTTAGGCACGGAGTGCTCGGACGCAGATGACTTTCAGCAGCATGGAGGATGTCGATCCGGATACATGCCAGCCAAGCCTGTGCCCAACGCAACCCCTGCATTGGACTTGGAGGCCATCAGGGATGATTCTTGGCAGTTGGTGGCTCAAGAGCCTCACGGCAAGAAGCGAGTAGTTGTCTTTATTGGCAATCTTAGTTCCCAGTGCAATGACCAACGGCTAAGCGAGTTCATCACAACACGCTCCACCGCAGTACACCAGACAGTTGCAGTTCATAATTGCAGTGTCCGCGAAAACAAGAAGGGAATGATGACAGGAAGAGTAACTGTTGATGCTGATGCCCTCCCCACAGTCACCTCTGTAAACTTTTGGCCTAGACCACTGTATGCGAGGGAGTGGACATTCCAAGAAAAACGTCATGGGCCAGTGCCAGGAAAGGGAAATGGACAGTCTGTGCTGTCGAAGAAGTCAGGCAAGGACTCAGCCACGCACAGCTCCGACCTGACACCATTGCCTCCCGACCGCAAGCGGCGGCATGGGGATTCGCCAGACTCTGGCAGTCCACTGCTCAAGAAACTGGACGAAGACCACCAGCAGCAAGAGTCTGCCGAGCAACAACAATTGAATGCAGACAGCTAGCAATCATGAAGCTCCTCCTGACCAATGCAGGCGGGCTGCTGTCCAAATTCGGAGAGTTTCAGCACACCCTGTTGCTCTCAGGTGCGGATGTTGCCATAGTGACTGAGACGAAACTAACAGTGGATAAGTGCTCTCACAGTGCATCTATGATCCCGGGATACTGTGGCCCGATTCACCGAGACCAAACAGAACACGGAGGTGGTATTGGAGTCTGGATCAATGCCGGCATCGCGTACCAGCATCTTGATCAGTACCAGGCTGCTGAATTCGAAACAGCCTGGCTCACAGTTGGCCAGTGCAACAGCAAAACTGTCATAGGTGCAGTCTGTCGCCCTGGTTCCTGCGCTGACAATGATCTGGCTCTTCTCGAGCACTAAGACCAAAACATAGATACCATGCGGCAGCATGGTAAGCACATGATTCTGGCTGGAGATTTTAATGTTCACAGCACGTCCTGGCTTGGCAGCTCTCGAACGACAATCGCAGGGGAGTTCTTGGAAGAAATCAGTGCAACACACTGTCTTGTCCAGCACGTGACCCAGCCAACCCGTGGGCCAAACACATTGGATCTCGTCTTGTCCGACTTTCCTGGCACTGTCCACACAGCAGTATAATCTCCCATCGGGCGCTCTGACCACTGTGTAGTATTGTCCAACTTTCAGGAAATCACTCCTGTACTGGAGCGGCCAACAAGCAGGAAAGTATGGCGTTATGGCCAAGCAGACTGGGGCAGACTGAGGGCACATTTCCGCAGCTTTGACTGGGCTGCTGTCGTCTGCGATGTTCCCGAACTTGCATGTGAACAACTCGCAACTGTACTTCTAGATGGAATGGACACATGTATACCATCTAAGACCCTGACAGTACGGACGACAGACCCTTGTTGGTGGACACCTGAGTGCAGCACTGTAGTTCAAGCAAAGACTCGTGCATGGAAACGGTGGCGTCAGCACTCCGATGATGGAGATTTGCGAGCTTCATTCATCGACCTAGTGGCCCGAACAGCTGCTATTTTGCTGCGCGCCCAATCATCACATAATGCTCGTGTCAAAGCCAAGCTC